AATTAACCGATTCAAGTCTACTATTGAATTTTAATTTATTATGTCAGGCATGAATTTATTAAATTAGATTATGTTGGCCTCAATTTCGTCCGTGACATGCGATCCTGATTCAAAGTAAAATAGGTCAATAATAGGTGAGAGCTAGGAAATAATATCTCTACCAGAATAACTGTAAAAAAAATCCTAATCAGATCCAATCCAATCTTTCAAAAGATAAGAAAATCAGATTTTATTAGTCAATGCGAAGCACTGTAGTAAGGAAACGTACACCACGAATAGCTGTCCATAAAAGAGCAATGGAAAGTTCATGCTTTATATGAGGAGTTCTCATTATTTATTTTGAGTCATTTCCATTATTATCTTTTATTCTCTCATATTTTACTACTTCATCCCAACTCTGATCTACCTCTTTTTTCGAAAGCCTTCAATTTTCAGCTGTTTTTCTCTTATTGTCTCTTATCAAGCTCTCATTTTGCACGTTCAAACTATCTAACTCTATATCTTCCTGTATTTTCTTTTCAATTACAGTCGCTTTCAAACTCTCGTGTTTGCACATAGCTTTTTTTCCTCTTAGGTCAGCCCAGTGCCGGATTAAGCCTCTAGCGGGCCCTAGACAACATTTAAATTGGGATCACATTTAAATAAGTTGCTTCTAAAGAAATCTTAAATAATGTCACTTCAAATTTTTATTAATAATAGAGAATACAAACACTAATCTTATCATATAATCGAGATGGGTTGATAATAATAATGATAATAGTAATAATAAGCGCAGAGCCCAAACGATTTGGAATTGAAAGTTGAAATTTGGTACACAGCGTACGCCATGAGAATGCACACTAAGAAGAGATTTTTGGACTTCCCCTGCGGGGAGAGGTTTAAGGATTACCCTGAAGAACTCGGCTTCTACTGTACTATTTTAGATACAAATTTTTGCGTTTTTTGTGGAAAATCGAACATATTTTTAGACCCATCTAAAAAATTCTAATTAGCTTCGGAAGAGGAGAACCTAATTCTTGCATCCGGCGAAAACGGATAAGATCGGCTATATAACTGTAAAGGTTATCTTACGTAAGGATTTATCACACCGAGTTCCCAATCTAACACATTTTAAAAATTCTTTATTCCTCTACTGTACAAAATTTAAAGAATTTTTAAAATGTGTTAGATTGGGAACTCGGTGTGATAAACTCTTACGTAAGATAACCTTTGTAAATATAAATCAAATACTATAATATAATGTAGTAGAAGGGTTAAAAGTACAAAATAATATAATAATATTAATCTTTGTTGTTATTTTTTGCGAGTAACGCCTGGCTCATCTGCTAGTACAATAATAATACAATAATAATTGTATAAGTTAATAAAAGCGTTTCTGTTATAACGAAAAACAAATATTTATAGTCATTAATAAGCCTTTAAAAAATTTAAATTTTTCGTTTTCGGAATTTCATTTCAGAAAATTGATCAATAATATCTTCGCAATCTAGCCATTCGAGAGTATCTTTTTCTATAGAAAGCATTGCTAAAGATCTTAGCCTTTCCTGTCCTATTGAATTTCTTAAATAATTTTTAACTCGTTTTAAAACAGAGAAAAATTCTGTACTGAAGTCCTGTTCCTCCGAATTACGGACTCCAGACAATTGTCCTATTTGTCTATTGGTTAATCGGATACTGGATCATCCCACATGGTTAAATAGATGAAATCAGAGAACGCTGGTAGTTCCTGAACAAGTTGGCCAGATGGAGTTTTGCGGATTTTCTTCCTAAATAGGAGCCAGTTTCCCATATGAAGACCATTCAACTTGACAGATTACCCTTGTTATGTGTTGCGTTCGCCCATCAAACTTATCAGACTTTGGATCATCCTAAGCATTCATATTTTTGCCATATTCAAGACTTATTTATTTTTACTCTCCATTAGAATAACTTTTCTCTTTTCTCTTTTAATTCATGTATGACTTCTGTTTAATTCTCTTAATAAATGTAATATTCCATCTGTAGTTATAACGCAGAAACATTAAATTTTCAATCTACTTATTCCGGTAATTTTCTTTGAGAACAATGCTAATTATCATCATTTTAACTTTAGACAATATTTACTCTTCCAACTAGTTTATTCTTTGGCACTTCTAAAGAGAATAACGTGACTTTACTTTCATTCTAGATAACTGCCTCATAGAAGTTGGTGACTCAGGGTGGGTTTGCACATAAGCTAAATAAGCTGCAGATTAAAGCTTTTTCAATCATCTTTGCTCTCCAAATAATAATATATGTAAAAACTACATATTTTTGCATATATCACCATTTAGAGGAACAAAGGAAGGGCATGTTACATGTTATAGTCTAGAGCCGCAACAAGTTTGTCCAACCGTGATTTTACTGTATATCTAACGCAGGGGTGTCCAACCCGCGGCCCAAGGCAAGTTCCAATGCGGCCCAATAAACGTGTAAACAAAACCGACAAATGTTTTAATTTTTTTATTATTTATTTATTTCAACGGCATAAACTCAAGAAAAGTTTCACAAAGCCATAAACCTTTATTCATATTTTATTTTTGAGTGGAAAGAAAATATTTTCAAATGCTTTGAGATGTGTGAATGCGGAATGATTACTAAATAAAGCTGGAGTTGTGGATTATAGGCCCAAATTTATAGACCCAAATTTGGGTCTATAATCCTCAAAGGATTATAGACCCAAATTTGGGAAAAGCAAGGAAAGATGAGAAAGGACATGAGATGTAGTAGTGAGAAACGTTAAATAGATCTTCTTTAAACAAATAGAGAGTCCCTAGGAAACCGTAATTTTTCAACCTTTTTCACTTCTTTATCTTTTGTCTTTTGTCTCTTTTTCCCCGCACTTGGGTCTATAATCCTTTGATTCACAGCTCCAGCTTTATTTAGTATTTCTTCCAACGTTGCAAGATTTGGCTAATTGGGCCAAATGTGGCTACTTTTTTTGCTTCACGTAAAAAATATCATTTGGCGCTTTGGCTACTTTTTCGGCTACATATTATTTGTAATTATATTAATTGAATAAAAATGCACTTTAAAATGATGTTTCATCGCTTTTTATTAATTACAGACCCAAATAAAACAAATATTTGTGTTTTTCAAATAAATTTTCTTTAGTCTCTTTTATAATAAATGAATTTATCTATTTCTAAGTAAAAATTGAAAGTGTCTGTAGAAGTAATTTTTTAAAATATCCTTTTTTCTTGATAAAGTTTTAATACTTATTATTATAATCTAGACATGTTAATTTTTAAATATACTTGTATATTGGGCCACAAGTATATATTATATATACTTGTGGCCCAAAACTCCTTGACTTTTTCCAATGCGGCCCAGAGAAACAAAAAGGTTGGACACCCCTGATCTAACGAGTAGCACAAACTCTTTATAGAATACAGAAAATCAGATTGCAACCAACAGTGCTGGGATTCATTCTTAAAAATCAGATGACGAGTTTCCTTCTTATACTATTAGTTAAAAGATATTTAACCGTTTCCGACTATTTTTTTTATAAATTCCGACGCACCTTCTTTATCATCGTGTTGATGATTCAGTATAAGAATTAACTTGACAACTTGTCCAATTTTCATATCAACAAAATAACTAATAAGAAATTAATAATTCATAACTATTTTCCATAGTAACGAAATCAATCATAACTACTGTTATATATTTAAAAAGCCAGTGTAAATCGCATTTACCTATCATAAATTCACGCATTGACACACTCTTTATGCATAATTCACAGGAATTATCATTAAAATTTCAAATGTTTAACATTGATATAACAAAAACTTATAGCAAAACGAAAAGATATATAGGCCTATAATATAGTTCAAGTAAATGAAAATGCAGTAAAACATATATAAAACGGACCCTCTACAAAACGAAAAACCTTTCTAAACCGAAACGATTTTTGAGCCTCAACTGTATAACATAATCTGAATAAAGTGGAAGTTTTTGGAGTAACAGCTAAATTCTAAACCATTAAGCACATTTCAAGGATATCGGTTTTTACACAGAGAAGTCTGTGTAAAAATCCAACATATCTCGACATGTTTTTGAAACATAAAACACTTTGTATTAAACAGTTTTAAATATGAGTTTTAACATTTCTTCAATACACTTTCCTGCATAACCCGCTATAAAACGGAAAATTTTGGCCGCTACCGTCGCGTTCAGTTTTACACAAGTTTTACTATATTATCAATGAATTTCTTTACAAATAATAGAAAAAATATATATATTAAAAGTTATAATCGTATATACATTATCAGAAATTCAAGTGTTATTTTCCACTGCAAGTTAATTCGGGTTTTCCAATCAGTAGATCGCGAGTTAGTTTTTAAGTAATCCGATATGACCGAAGGTAAAAGGTTGAAAAGTATATGTTTTTACCATATTTTTTTTTTTCAATGCAAACAGATTTTATTTGGGTAAATATTATTAAAGATAACATGTCTAACAAATAAAAGATAATTTTATTTAAATTTATAAACAATAAAGGCATAAATTAATATATTAAAGTATTATCAAGAAGAGGTTACTTTTAGGTCAATATCTATATATTAATGTATGCACGAATTATCTAAAGGTAACTATTGCTGTATTTACTACACAAGCAATTACTTACGTATCTAACATGCTTCTACGAAATTCAATCCAATTTTTATGGAAAAGAATTTAATTATTTTAAAATAAATACCTATGAATAATTGCTTCATCTCTATACACCATCCTGTTATTATGACAACCAATTCCACACAAAAATATTATTTAAAAAAATTCATTAAATTGTCAAAGCGTATCCTAGCAACCGACAGATAACAAAACTCCAAATACCGATAGCAGCGACATTATGTTAAAATTAAAAAAAATTTTTTTAATTATTATATATTTAACACGTAAATTATAATTATTGCTTACAATATTATAATATAATTTAAAATGTATTAAGCTAAATTATTTATAATTTTGAATTAAAAAAAGAAAAAAAAAGACACACTCTTCCAACATGGCTGTTGCATGCGTGAGTGTTTGTCTAGTTCAATATGATGGATATTTTGACGTTTTTGTCGGGTGTAATTATGATCTCTGTTATAACTTATTTAATTATAAACGTAAATAAGTTTGTGAGGAATATAAAATGTGTAAAAAAAGCGAAAAAAGTATTAGTAGTCGTCGCTCATCCGGATGACGAATGCATGTTCTTCGCTCCGACTTTGATAAATCTTTGTAAAAGAGAAAAGTCATCAGTTACGGAAGTCCATTTGTTATGTTTATCATCGGGTAAGTTAAACAGAATTGCGTTATGCAGTATTTTAGTAGGTTAATTTACTTATTAAATACAAAATCACTGAATTTTAGACTCTGATCTTTGCATATACGAAAATTACCTAAACACGCGAACTTTCGCGGGGGAAACGTGCGTGACATTTGTTTTCCGATAAAAGCATGCTTTTAATTAGCTCAAACGATAAATAATATGTCTGTATCTGGTTTTAATCATTACGATTTGTTTCTGAGAATTGTATATAATTTTGGTTTCGTAATAATAGGAAGAAAACGTATTAAAAATTCAATAGAAGTTACTTTTAGGTCATTGATTTACGTACGTACAGTATATAGGAGCCGTACATTAATTATGTGTAGAGTGTGGGGAGAGATAGTGAAAATTGCATTATTGTACTCGGTGGAGGAGGCATTATCTACGTGGTCTTTTAATTGTGTTAGTTGCATAAGAATTTGTTTTTACATGACTGCTTACTAGTTGTGTGAATAAACTATCAGGTAGAAAATATTTTCAGACCTTTAAATTGGTTCTTAGGTGTTAGAGTCTGCAAACTATTGTATGTATTGTGCATTATACTGTATAAAATTAAACGAACGTGACTTGACAAAAATATTTCATTACATGCACTGGGGGGTCAAAAGTGGCCCAAAAACTGTATAAGTAATTAATGGATGTCGACATGAGCTAAGTTCCAAAAACCAACTTTAATTAACATAATTTATGTTTAGATTTGGTTTAAGATTATGTAGGATGTAGAAACTGAAGATATAAATATTTAACTATACTTTTTCCTTTTTCTAGTTCCTAATCAGCTTTATTTTATTCCATAATATTTCATTGTTTTTGTCTAAGGCTTCATAGATAGTGTAGAATGAGATTGATTGTCTTCATTTATTCTTATACTGATTAATTATTCATTTCTTGTTTTAATTTGAATAAAAACTGAAGTAAATGTATTTTTTTTCACTTCGGGTTTTAATTTTATTTATAACAAGAACTGAATACACTATTTCTTTTATATCATTCTTGAATATTATAAGAATGGTGCAAAAGATAGATGAGTATGTTATGTACGGATCTTAAAACTTGTACGTCTGTTGCCATTATTTTAATTTTAAAATTGGTTACATGAAGCATTTATATTAATTTGAAATGATTATTTAAACATTAATAAAAATACAGAAATGATTATTTAAACATCTAATAAAAATACAGAAATGATTAAAACTGAAAAGAAAAAAAAAATGATTTATGAAGCACACAAAATTTAAATAACAAATGTTTCTAAAGAATTTTTGAACAACTAAACTCATTGACAGGAGAACAACTATTTTTAGTATAAATATAGGCTCAATTTAAATTAACTAAATAAATTTAAATTAATTACTGGCTAAATTTTTAAATAAAATTAATAATTTTGTCCCTGTCTATTCATATTTCCTGTGAATTTAAATAAATAAATGTAAATGTAAAGTCCTAACTGTGTTAGGACTTTACATTTACATTTATCAAAATGAGTTAGGACTTTAGATTTACATTTATCAAAATGACACAGTTAGGACTTTACATTTACATTTATCAAAATGAGAACACTTTTTTAGCAAATAATTAAATATATCAAAATTCTAGAATGACTTCCTGAGGAAAATAATTAGTTAAATCTTACAGAAAAGGGAGGAAAATAGAAAAAAATAAGGAAAGAGGAAGAGATAAAGAAAAATATAAATGTGTCTCGTTTGTCAATCTTCTAAAAGTTAAAATACTAACTGATATATGAAGAGAAGATGTGTCAATATAACATATGTCAGAGCTCAAATAATATTTATAATTAACAAAGTTAGAAATAAGATGCTGAAAGAGATAAATAAAAGAAGAATTTATTTAGTTCTTATTTTTAGAAAATTAAAAAAATGAAATGAGAGAATATATTAATGATATTAGGAACATTTCAAAGCTCGATATTCATAATAAAATTAAATGATTGCTGGATTAAATTGGGCTGCTTTACTGTACTGTTAATAGTGATAAAACAGTCTGATTTAATTTGTCAATTATTTGATGATATTATTAGGAAATTAAATATGAGAATAAGAGAAATAAAAATGCAGCTTTAAATAAGAACAAAAACTAATTATGGATGAAATTAAATTTGTTTAGATTCAGAAAAAAAATTCAATGAATTTACAGAGAAAATTGCATTTAATAATAAAGTATTAAAAGAATAGTAATTAACTGTAAAAAGATATGAATTTTAGAACTTTTATTATTTAATACATTTTTCTTGTGGTTCTATAATTAAATTTCATTCTATTTTAATATTTTAAAATGTATTTAATAGAGATAACCGACACTGATATATTGATGTACTTTATTAGAATGTTTTCAATATTGGAATCAGTTCATTTTATTCATCTTTTGATTAGTCACTATGAAAAAAAGAGAGAGACTGGAGTACCAGTTTGTAAAGTGAATCAATTCCAATATATCAGGAACATTCCAATATACTGAAATATTACTGCTGTCAAATTAGTATTGGTTACATCTCTAATATTTAATCTGAAAATGTAAATGAAACAGAGTATTTAGTCTTCAACTATTAAATTACAAATATGTAGTTACAAAATTTCTGTAAGAATAATTATATGAACAGTTAATTATCTATGAAAAACACTAAACCTATAAACCAGCAAATTTTTATTACAAGTGCAAACATTTTCACCCATGTTGAATGGGCATCATCACTCGCACACTCTCATTTGTTATAAAAATTGCTGGTTTATAAGTTTAGTGTTTTTAATTCTAATTTAATTAGTTTTAAGTGGCAGTTAATTATCTAATTATATAATCTGTCAGTTTAAGCAAGTTAAAAACTTACTTTTTAAAGCTGAAACTTTTTTAAAAAACTGATATTAAACTGACCTTTTTGCATGTTTCCAGCACTTCTGATATAAACAAGACGTAAACGTTTGGCCTCTTTTAGAGGCCACCGTCAAACTTTTTATCGAGCAGTTTTTATCCAAACTTTTCAATTTGGAACACTTTTGAAAGATGTTCTGGAACAAATTAACTTGGATTACTATATCTTTATTCTCCACTGTTCAATATACAATAACTGTTTCTGGAATTAAAAAGGTAAAAAATATAAAGAAGTATCATGTATACATTATCAAGAAGAATTGGGGTTTGTGTATGTTTAAACTAAATGGTTTAAGTTCAGTTCAAGAGGATGGATTTTATAAAACTTCATTATTTATTATGATTCCTCACTTATTTATTTAAAGAGTGTGATTAGACTTGCAGCTGAAAAGAATTAAATACAGTAATACCCCGAACTTATGCGATAGGTGGGACTGAGTGATAACCACGTAAGTCGGGGTATAATTTCGCATATAAATACATACAAATAATTTTTAATTGGGGCCGGAGACTAAAGAAAACAATAATTTAGAAAAAACTGTTTAATAAAATCTTAGATAATATATATGTATGACAAATTATATTATTATACAATTTTTCACATTTACTTGATTATCACACCATAATTTTAACATTGTTTCCATCTCAGGGATAATACTGTGACGTTTACGAATGATGCTTGAATTTAAAGATTGAGCATTTTTTACAGCTTTGAGAATTTTTTCTTTACCTTTTATAATTACTTCTTTGCCAATTCACAAATTTTCATTTTTGTATCGAAGTCTTTAATAATGTTAACTTTACATTCCAAAGATAAAGTTTTTCTTTTCTTGTTTGATGCAGAAGAATCAGTTCTACTTTGTTTGTATGACATAGTAGAGTCTCTCAAGTCTCCATAGATATAACAAACACAGAAATAAATAACACAAAATAAATTGCAGCTATATGTTGATTCTGCACGACATGTCCGAACATGTAAGCTGAACAATAGTGTGGGGGGAGTGAGTAATCAAGAGTTGCATGGAGCTCAAACAAAAGATGAATCGAAGAGATTTGAAAATCGCATAACACCGGGTTCGTGTAAGTCGAGGTATTACTGTACTGAAAAATTTTTAAATGTTTACTGAGACATGAACTTACAATACGTCAAACAGTAACCATATGCCATTGCATTTATTTTTGGTTTATTTATTAAAGTCATAAGTTTAAGTAAAAAGATTTTTTTATTTTTATAGAAATATTTATGAGTTACATAATACAGAAACTAATAAATTAATACATGTTGTATTATTTTCAGGTAATTACTATAGTCAAGGAAAATTAAGAAAAATTGAGCTAAGGAAAAGTTGCCAAATGTTAGGAATTCCATTAAGTAACATTACAGTAGTACAACATACGTAAGAAAATATTCTGTATTTGTTATTTGTATTCAAATAATATATTTACACCATATTTTTATTTAAAATATCTTAATTATTCCAATAAACAGCACAATGCCTATAACTTTTTCATCTTGCAGTTGCACTGTTTATAAGAGTATGACTATTATTTCTATTCTTTGGGAATTGGGTGCAATTATTATTTGAGGCAACTGTTAATGGAATAAATTCGGTAACTTTTTCCACTATTATTATTCAGACAATAATGCAACACTCAAAATAATCACACTTTATTTGAACATTTGGTAAGAATGAAAATGCTAAATAAAATGTGCAATTTTACAGTTTACAATAAGCCTTAACATTATACATGCCAGTGTTCTTACTACCACATAGTACTGTGTATGACTTTATTCATCTTGCACCTGAGCTGTTTATTTGAAGGTGTTTACTAATAGAGGTTGTTTTTGATTACAATAAATGCAGTTATTTATATAAAGTGACAAAAAAATCACTACTATATAATATAGGAATTATATATCCTTTATTATATTAATATTTTTAATAACAAGTTTTTTGAAATTTTATAATCTGATAGTAATATTTCATAAATATTTATAAAGTTTCTGATCATAGAAATATTTTTAGATTATGAAAAATTTTTGGTAACTAAAGTTACTAACAATTAAAAAAATATCTCATAAATTACCTCATGTTTCATTTGCTATAAGTATTATAATATAAAATAATTATTCATTTTGTAATTATATTTTTCTTTCACTTTTTAATAATTTTAATAATTTTAAAATAAACAAGTTATTGAATTTTATATTTTTTATAATTCAGATTGTTGAACAATGTATTTAATATTTATATAAAAATAATAATAATTGCATTCTTATAATTGCATAAGTTTTCCCACAAATCTCACATTGCATCCTTGCTCCCATAACTTCCATATTGCAAAACTCACTATGAACAGTGAAACATCTTTCACTCAAAACACAATAATGCAGGAACAAAACAAGATATCAACAATCTGAAAAAAAACAGCTTACTCTAGGTTATCACGAACATAGTGTTGTCAACTTCATGACACTAGGACACTCCATTTTTGCCCAATTCAAAAAGTTTGGTTATTTTTTGAACAGACTTCTTATGTAAAATTAAATTATGCCAGACACAACCATCCAGTTTCACAACTAAGAAACAAGAACCAAGTTGGCAGTTGACAATTGAGATGCTAATATCAGGAGTGGCATTGAGATAATCAAAGAAGTACCAGATATTAAACAAAAGACTGGTATCTATCATTGAGAAATATTAGGAGTACCTCAAAATTTATTTTTTGAGAGCAATTGCCCACAATCCTTAAATATTTAATAATGTTTGAATGTAATTTTTTAATAGAAAATACAATAAAATTATTTTATCCTTTACTATATTTACAATAATTTTTTTATATCATACAATGATATCTTTATATCATTATTATCCAAACAATATTAAAAAAGAAATACAAATAACAAAAAACATGTCAAATGTTCCATTTGGTGAAATGTCTGTCAGACAAATGTCCAAGTGCCAAAAAATATACAGTCATTCCAACTGATATGTGACCAACCACGTAATGGTCAATACACTGAAATGTCTTTAAAAAGATGTATCTTTTTAAAGACATTTCAGTGTAATAAATATATTTATGCTTTTTAATGTTATACTCTTGATGAAAAATACTTTTCCTGTTTTAAGAATTGACTGACTCTATATACTAATAATACTACACTTTAAACATGATTTTATATAAATTAATTATTACAAATGTCTTAAAATAAGCCATATAAAAATATGTAAACATGGTCAAAAGAATCCAAAAAAATATTATTATACAGTCAATAATTAGAATATACCTTTAATCGATCAAATTTTTTTATACTAGAAAATTTTATATATTCGTTGCAGTATATATTGAATATTAGTAAAAGAATTATTAAACAATTTACAAAGTTTTCCTGTTAAGAAACATTATGTCACATTTTGGATGGAACTTGGATTTTTTGATATTTTCTAGCATAATAAAAAGATTACTGATTATTAAATAATACCTTTAATATAGCCACATAAAATGCTTTAAAATGTACTGTACAATAAATGTAGAATAATGTTAAAACCTAATTAATCTTGTAAGTAAAAATAATAATAGGATTTTTTTTTTACTATATTTTAAAAAATTAAAATAAAATGAGAATATATAAAAATTTTATATTTATAATATAGTATCAACATTTAAGAATATTTTTTCTATTTTGGCTTTTTCTCCCATGTGGACATTAAGAGGGTTCTTTTTTCATACCCATCAGGTTTAGCAATGGGGACAAATTGGTGATAATAGCCAGGGTTTGATGTATTTGGAATGGACTATCCATGAAAAATTCATAGGGTTTTTTGACTGTTCAGATTTGATTTTGAGTCACCCTAGAGCAGTAACCTGACACATAAAGTGCCTTAGCCATTTACCTAACAAACTATAAAATAAATTAGAGACCATCTTATCTACATCTGTATTTACAATATATATTTGGTGAAATCTTAAAATAGGATATTTTATTTTACAAAATCAATTTTACTGAATAATCTTATATGAAACTTGTAATTATCTACTTTTAATAAGAAAATAAAATTATAGTTACTAATTACTAGCTCATTAATTATTACATTTTTTAATTCCTCATAATTTTCATTTTTTTTCTATTTAGTATTATATACAATAGAGTAAAAAATTGATATATAGACAAGTTTGATTATGATAGTTTTGAATATTTTTTGTAAACCAAGATCTTTCTAGGGATGTTTTTAATTGTTTAAAAGTAAATAATTCACAAAGTTTAAACTTTATTTCTGAAGTTTACTTTAAAAAACATATAATTTAGGCTTAGAATTAAATTTTTTGATGGCCAATATCAGAGAATAATAATAATAAATTTCATAAGAATTTAGTGTAAAGTTTGTAATATTTAAATATTCCTTTTAAAATTTGAATAGCTTTTCAAAAATGATTGAATTGTACTTCATTTTCTAGAAACAGTAATATAGAATTTTTCAAAGGAATGACAATGAAAAAATATTTATATATATAATACTTGATCATAACAAATCAGCAAAAATAGAAATATTTGATAAATATTAAGAAGTAGTTGTACATAGATTTACATGAATCATGAAAATATCTAATATCTGATATTTTCATGATTCATGAAAATATCAGATATTAGATTTTCTGAAAATACAGCCACACCCTGTTATCTAAACTCTTATTATAAAAAATGACATTTTTTAATACCTATTGTAATATGTAAATCTAGTGATTCCATTATTATGATTCATTCAGAGTATATGAAAAAATTCAAAATTTGCACTAGTAAAAATGGGAAGAAGTAGGAAGCAATCCTTTTCATCATATGTCACTTACTTAGATGTTATGTACAGTATGGTACAAGGTCATCAAAGTAAATATGGTATTTCTTAGTGGCAATCTTAGGCAGCCTTAGATAATTCGTGGCAGGACAACTCACAATAAGCACTCTGAATACAAGAGATGTGTGGAATTCATAGCCAAATTGAAGATCAATCAGGATTATGCATGGAGCATGAATGACCTCACAGAAGAAATTGATGAACAGTCTGGTAGCATACAAGGACCTGCAATTCCATTCTTTTGTCTTCAGGAATTGCCAACTCTTGACTAAGAAGAAGAAGAAGAAGGACAGAAAACTGAAGCTTCAGACTCTGGTCCTCTGACTTGTGGGGCATGGTTGGGGCAAAGATAAATGCAAGCATCACAATACCAAAGATGCTCTGAAGGCTTCTATCACGGAAGTGATGACGAACATGGACAAGGAGTAGGTCAAGCATGTCTACTGCTGTTTTAGGTCAAGGCTGAAGAAGGTTGGGCATGTAGCAATTAATTGCAACATGGAGGCTACATAGAATAATTTTGTTCTGTATGTTGTGTATGTTTGTACCAAGTTTTGTAATTGATTTTTCCTTCTATTTTTAATTGTTTTTCATTATATGGTGACTTTTCTGGATTTACCTCAATGACTCTATATATAACATGGGAAAATGTTGGAATCATGTCATATTTGACCATTCAGGTTTTTTTGCAAGCCTCAATATTTTAAGACCCCTGAATCAAAATATGTTGAAAAAACAGGAAAAAATTTCCATGTGTCTGTATTTTGTTTAATATTTCAGTATTGGTAAAGATTAAAAATTTGGTCAATGGTATTTACATTAAAATATAAAAATATATTTATTTTAATATATCTTCAGTTAATTTTTTAATACAATATTAAAATACTATTGAACCTGTCTATCTTGAATTTCATGAAAACAAGGGAGAAAAGATTTGAGATAAGACAGGTTTAGAGATGAGATATATCAGCTCCTACCTGTGAAGAAGCTTGAAATCGTGCTCGATGTAAAAGAAAAGTCTTAACCTCCAAGTATAGAAAATGGAAGAAAAATCCCGCCGTGGCAGACCTCGTGTACTGAAAGATTACAAGTGTAGATTCTGCCCAAGTTTTTTCTCAAATAGATTAAATTGGAGAAAGCACATCAAAAAACACTTGTATTTAAGACTTCTTCCATGTAGTGTATGCGGTGAAAAATATAAAACTAAAAGAAAATTGCGTTTTTATAAGAAGTTGCACACAGGAGAAAAAAAGTTTCAGTGTAAACTTTGTTTTCGAACTTTCAACAATATTGCAAAGTTTAATAGACATAAAGCAATTCACAAGTCTTACTTTTACTGCGATATATGTCAAAGAAGATTTATGTATAAACGCAAATATGAATTGCACAGGAAATCTCATCTGATAGAAGCACCTGACCGAAATAAACATGTAAAAAAAGAAGAAACACAAGCAGGATCTTCTTCAGCTCAAATTGTGTTAAGCTTCCATAATTACTCTCTTCCACAAACTCAAACTTCGAATAAAATAAAGAAAACATCAAAAACTTCGAAAATTGGCAGTTCGGTGGAAAAAGTAAAACAAGTAGCATCTTCTTCAGCTGACGTTCAGGAAGAAGTAACGATAGAAGCAGGGCCATCTTCAGCTGACATTCAGGAAGAGGTGACGATAGAAGCAGGACCAGCTTCATCTCATATTCAGCATATTATTGGAATTTACAATTTTTTAAAAACTCATCTTTACCATAAATGGTAATAGGTTGAATGGTAATGATTGAATAGTAAATGGTAATAGGTTTGATTGAAGATATGGTATTTTATTAGTACAATAGCAAGTACGATACATATCTATATTAGGTGTAAATAAAACATTTTTGACACATCTTAACAGAAACAGTTTGTCAACAGTTTCTGATGCCTAACTTCAACCAATAAGATGCAAACCAAATTCATAGTCAATCAGAGAAAAGCAGCATTAATTGCAACTATGTACAGTATTGGAAGAGATCTTTCTTAACTACAATTTATGCTACTAAAATATAATTACTGAGCTTTGAATTTGTAATTGACACTTCAGTCTGTAGTTTGAGACAGAAAGGTTTTGAGATAAACATGGAAAATATATTGAATTTATGCTGAAAATGAAGGAAAATAAATAAATTTTGAGATAAACATGTTTAAGATAGACAGGTTCAACTGTATAATTTTTGTAGCTTTAATATATTTTTATATTTTAATGTAAATACAGTACTATCAACCAAATAAAACTTTAATTTTAATCAATTGTGTTGTGAATTATGGTATTGGCAAAATTGCCAGAGGACATTTTGATCCATTTGCATTCTTTTGTGGAGGCACAGCCACAAATAAAAGGTTGTCTCCATAAGTGATAATTATTTGGGACTGTTGCTAATATTGTGAACAATGGAAATGAAGACATTTTTGTAGCTTTTAATTAAGAAATGAAATTTGGCATAACAACTTATATATAAAGGAGTATTAATGATATGTGGAATGGAGTCACAATGAAAATTTTACTTATTATTGGAATTTACAATTTTTTAAAAACTCATCTTTACCAACAAAATTAAGTCTTTTAACTTTTACAATAATCAATAATATAAAAGTTACTTTTTAATAACATCTCATAACATATGGTGCCATACAGTTTTAGCATTGCTAATGTGACCCAGTATTTCTTAAACATAAAAAATTCTAGCAATGTATTGCTAGATTTTTTTTTAATCTGTTTTAGTGGTGTTGTATCAGGAAAATATTTGAAGGAGTATAGAATATGCTGCAGCATCTCTTTTTTTAATATCAATACAAGATTTTAGTTTTTAATTTTAGCTACTTTTATACAAATAACTATTATTTTTAAACTATGACTGTTGGACATTTTATAGTATATTATCATATCAAATGAATACAATTATATAAAAAAGGGAAAAATATTTTTGAATGTCTTTTTTCAAAATATACTGAATACATGCCAGCATTGTATCTATCTTATAAGATTTTTCAGCTTGATAATTTTTATCACAAAATTTTAATGCAATTTTTCAACTCTAATAATTCATTATAGTAGGTTCTCTATCATTATTGTTATTTTCATTATTATTTTGTTTATAAACAGTAATATTTTAATATAAAATGCACAGTACAGTACTTCTATTTTCATTGCTATTATTAAAAACAAACTCACTTTATTTACAATTCTTAATATTGAATACGATATAAATACAGTAGAATCTATTTTAATAGATCACAGAACAACAGATTTTTCGGAATAATGGATTTCTTTCACTAGGTTCTGCCAAATCAATGTAATTTCACCTTATTTTAGCAGATCTGTTACTTGAAATAACAGATTTTTTTCTAGCTTTATCTTTTGTAAACATCATATTTTATCAATCTTTAATTAATAATTGGATATTTCTGGATACTGAATTCAAAAAAATATATTGCACACTGTGCAAACTAAGCACATTATCATAACAGTTCTCATGTCTAATGTTGCAACTGCACATTAGTGCCTTCCTGTAGCACATTGATTATTGGAGGAAAACTACTTTCAGTTAACATTTCCAGATATGCATGTGTATGCAACAAAGATGTGCCTCATTTTTGTTGTAGACATGTATTTGGGAATATTGCACCTTGAAATCATGCTTGTGTAACAACAACATTTTATACTGACGATGTCACCAAAAGAAACCTAGAAATGTCGCAATATATATATTAGAATTAGAATATATATATTCTAATTGATCTATATCAATATATATATGTAAAGGTGTGATTGGCCCTCCAAAGCCGGAGGCGCTTGAAACAAAAGGAGTGACGTGGAACAATAGAAAATAAGGTCAGAAGCTTCTGAAAAGTCAGAAAGAACGGACCACGTGCAAGACCTCGGATATAGTAGGACAAGACAAAGGAACTTCATATAGTTAACGATATTTCCTTCTCGAACTTACATAAAATATTTACATATATATATATATATATTGATATGGATTAATATATATATGTATATATATTGATATGGATCAATTATTGGGCTGCAATTTTGCAATTTGAAAAAATTGTTGACTTATAAATTCTCACTGTTGTCCATCTGTTCGTCTGTCTATCCTTGTTTAATCTCAGGAATGGAGTTAGGTAGATGAAAGTCAAGACATTCTGCCCTTAAGCTATGGAAAGCTTAAGGGCAGAAGGCTCTGATTAACTATATACAAACTTTCAGTTTGCAATGGAAGTAATGTTGTTTCAAATTTAAAATTTTTTCCTGAAAGAAGTTAGATAGATGACTGGCACGACTCTGTTGTAACAGGAAAAGTATTGTGTACAGGGGCAAAACACTACTAATTTGAAATGGAGAGTATATTATTTAAAATAAATAAATTAAAAATTGCAGCCTGACATTGTGACAATATCACAATAAATAATTGCTCATTGGTTTTAAAAACCAATTGAAAAAGGATATATAAAGTTAGATTATATAAAAGCATATATGAATAAATTAATTGATTGTTATATATCTATATCTATACTAATATTATAAAGAGATAATGTTTGTATGTAAGTTTGTTTGCAGCAGGTAATCTCCAAAAATACTCATCCGATTTCAAAAATTCTTTCACCAATATTTAGAATGGAACTTCAGGGTGGACATAGGCTGTATATTATTCCGTTAAACATTCATATAAATTAAATTATATCATCTAGGGTTAAGGCTTTTATGTCCAACAGATGGCGCTACGAGTACGATGCCCTAAGTTTGCTTTTCTGCGAGGCATTATGCTTTTCTGTGAGGCATTATGCTTTTCTGTGAAAATGGACTAAAGCGGATCATCTTCTATCTATCTATATAAATAAAAATGTAATGTTCATTTGTTCCTACCGATTCCTTTGGAATTTTGACACAACGCTGCATTCGAATACGCACATGTTTTTATATAATATACATGTCGAAATCCCCCGCGGGAGATGGACGGGATTAAGGCTTACCATAAAGAATTCTGCTTCTATTTATACTGTTTTAGATGCGGGTTTTTGCGTTTTTGATTGTGTTTTAATAGGGTACATCAAGAGAATGTACACTAAGAAGAAATTTTTCGATATTCCCCCGCGGAGGAGAGAGACAGGATTAAGGCTTACCGTGAAGAACTTGGCTTCTATTATACTATTTTAGATGCAGGTTTTTGCATTTTTGATTGCGTTTTAATAAGGTACGTCAAGAAAATGTACACTAAGAAGAAATTTTTCGAAAAATTCCTCCCCACGGGGGGAGTGTTATAAATTTATAATAGATACATTTTGAGCCACAACGTGTGGCAGGGTCTGCTAGTTCTCTGATAAAATGATAGAACACATGCTCTAGTGCAGGGGTGGCCAACAGTTTTTGCCCCCGGGCCGAACTGGAAAGAAAACTTTATTCACGGGCCGAACCAGAAGCTTCCCAAGGAAGATTTTGAGGTGGTGCGAGATCTCATTGTGGTGTCACCCCGTAGAGACTAAATTGTACATAGAGATTACAGATACATTTTTCACATTATCATGCATTATCAACATTCTACTCTGTACTTAAGAGTGTAATGGAGGGTTAACTCTAAATGCACAGTGAGTTAATTTTTTTTTTTTTTTTTTTTTTTTTTTTTTTTTTAGGTATCAGAATTTTTCATGGAGTTATTCAGACCTGAGTAGCTAATATTGAAAGATTAATCTTGGGCCGCATAAATTCATTAGATGGACCGGATCTGGCTTGCAGGCCATATGTTGGCCACTTGCTCTAGTGTCTCTATCTTGAATGCATACTTGAACATTTTAACATAAAATCTAAATTTTTAAATGAAACATTTTTAAAAATATTGTATTTTATTAATTGTGTTTAATATTTAATTTACATATATGCTGAAGATGATTGGAAATAATGCTGAAAACATTTCTTAATAAATATTTTTAATTTCCAAAACAAACTGTTTCATTTTTGATTTAAAAAAAATTAAAATATTCCAAATATTCTATTGAATTTCAATAGAGTAAAGTGTTTGGAATATATTTTATTTTCAGCATTAATCACAATGAATTATATTATAAAATGTTTACAAAGAAAATCAATGTTGCTATGCATAAATTGATTTTTACTCTAATGTTAAAAAGTATGAATTTAATATAATTGAATGAGTTAATAACAGAATATTAAATAATTAAATATTGACTAAGTAAATATTTTTACATATTAGATTTAATTTTATACACTTTTTATTTATTCATTTATTCTTTGTTTAGTTTTGCACTTAATATTAGTTTTTTTTATACTTGTCAAGATCAATGCCTGATGATCCTATGTGTTTATGGAGAGAAGATTTAGTTGGTAACATTATTCTTAAGTTTATTGAAAGACTATCCATTGATACAGTAAGTTAATTATTTTAATGTTGTTACAGTTTATAAATTCAGATTTAATGTGTTTATAAATGATATTTGTTCTATTTAGGTGTTTACATTTGATGAAAAAGGAATTAGTGGACATTTGAATCATAAATCATTATACAATGGTTTGAAGTAAGTAAATTTTTATGAATATTTTTAAAATATCAAAAGTTAGATTCATCACATATTTATAATTCAGACAAAGAAAAATTTTTTCCGTACATTTCATAAATATTAAATATTGGGACCTAAGATCAAATTCAACTATGCAACTTAGGAATTTTTGTGTGTGGTTGGGTGTTGTTTCGCACTACTTGGCCATCCTGATTAATTTTGCATGTTAATCAAATTTTGCATTAATAAAGAAATATCTGAACAAATGAATATTTGTTTCAGGATGACATTAAATATTACAAACTCTTATCACTTTACTAACAAACACAATGAGGTCATTAAATGATATATTTGTAAGCAATAAAATTGAATAAATTTTAATATTTCTGTTAAACATGTAGTGATACGTTACATTTTATATTAAAATATTACTACATAAAATCAGAACAATAATAAAAATAAACTAGAATTACATTTATTGTTTTGAATACCTGCCAATTGAGCTGAGCATACAAAATCCTAGCTTAAGTCTATGGCAGAGTTTTTCTCAAGGACAATCTGATCAGGATTTCAAATATCTTATGACATTTACCGACCTGAACTTGATAGCCATACCTGATTTGGTCAAGATCAGTGAAGCAGTTTCAGAGTTATTTAAAAGGAATGACTTTTGAATGTAAAGAAATAGACTTTCCTCATTTAGCTCAACAGATGTGATAGTGAACTTACTATAATGGATTGTTAAGAATAAGCTAGCTCATAAGAGTATAATGAAATCTTGTGATAAAAATTTATTAAATGCAATTTAGTAATTAATAATTTATTAAATGTTTTGGTCTGTGTTCAGTGACATTGTTGCCCCTAAATCAAATGAGAAAAGATTTATTACATGTAATCACTTGTACATAGTCAAATTATTTATTATTTATATTGCTGTCTCATATAAGACAAATTTGATTACATACATTATTTATAAATAAATTTATATGTATATAGTAATATATAGTATATTCAAATTAAGCTAATTTGCTAAACATGTACTTTTTGAAGAACTTGTATCTTGTGTGTCTAGCAGGTTGTAATTGATTTCTAAATAGAATTGTAAATAATAGTTTTAAATATAATTTCATTTACATTTCTTTTTACAGTTATTTACTTGAAGAAGGATTAATTCCCAGAGGTAAATTTTAAAAAGTGTTTAAAAATATTTGTGTTATTATACATAGTCAGTCGTTTTCATTTATTTTATTTATGCAATTTTTTTTTAGGGTGTAAAATTTATTTATTAGAAACTGTCAATATTTTTCGAAAATACAGCATTATTTTCGATTTAATTATCAGTTTAATTTGGTCAAATCGGGCATTTATTTCTTCGCTTCAAGAAGTTAGACTTGCACAGGTTTGTTTATTTTATTTATATTTTTTTTTAATTATTTTGAATGTATCTTTTTAATATATTTGTTTGGATATATATTTATTATCTAGTTATCATATTTACCATATATACTAATATTTAAAATATATTCAGTTTAAAACATTTTTAATTCAGTTTTAAGGATTAATAAGTTTACACACTGAGCTATCTTTCAAAGCTTTCCTCTAATATTACCAATCTTTTCTGGAAACAGTATTTTTATGATTATAATTTTATTTTCCTTTATGTTATTAAAAGCCTCTCTGTGTATTTTAATAGAAAATAGTATTAATATATAAAAAGACAGTCATTTTCCAAAAAATATTTTGGAGCGATCACCATTTATTTCTTTAAAATTTTCCATAACAAACTTGAGGCGACCCGACCTTTCCTTTTAGGCTACATGGCCGCCTATATAAAAAAAAAAAAAAAGAAAATAGTATGTTAATGTCTATGCTTTTTCTAATATTTTAGAGGAAAAAAATTCTTAATATTTGTTAATATAATCTATTTAAATCAATTGGCATTTAAATATATATATATATATATGCAACTTTATCACATGAATTGCATTGTAATCAAAATAAAACATTGGCATAAAAGTAATAGATAAATAAATAAACAATAATAATAAAATTAAATTATGTATGTTCAAATGTTCCATCATGAAATAATCCATTTAAAAAATGTTTGGATACAGTCTTACACTTGATACCCTATATTTAAGTTGAATTTAAGTTGAAAACGTTTATGATGATATAAATAAATAAATCTCAGCAAACATAAGATAGTTATGAAAATTTATTAACTATTTCTTACTGCTGAGTCTGATTTTGATTGTTATTAAAATAATTTTAAAGATTATAATTAATACTAAGCCAAGTAATTGCCCTAATTAATCAGGCTAATATTATGCTATAATTAATAATTGGAAACTAAGTAAATATAGTTGCCTTACAGTCCTTAATTCTAATTTATCATTGTCTACTCAGACAAAACTTATTATTAGGGCCTTATACTGGTGTTTTTGGATATTGACACAAAGATGAGATCTGAATCAGAAAATTTCTTTATTATATCACCTGTAGTAATTTTTCCTGTACACATGTTACAAGTGTTTCGGGCTAACGTGCCCCTCATCAGCAGTATTACTATGACATTCTAAAATATAACAAATGAATAAAAAGATATTAAAATTAAGAATACAAAAATTATTCAACAATAAAATTTTTAAAAAACTTACAGTAAATTCACATCTGAATACAACGTACAATGAAATTATATTTAGAAGAAATTTAAATATAAAAATTGCATAATATAATTTTTCTGTATTAAATAAAAATAACAATTAAAGACTAAATTACTAAGAATATACAAGTTTAACATTTGTTTAAAAAATAACTTACATTAAGAGTTGTCAATATCCAAAGACACCAGTATAAGGTCTTAATAATAAATTGTGTCCAAGTAGACAATTAATGATAAATAAGAAACTAAGTAATTTGGTACTAGAGATAGATGTTAGGTGTCATCTCTTATTTAAATTAATAATTTAATAATTTATTAAATAATTTAGAATATTCTAGAAGAAAAGAACTAGCCCAGAGTGGGACTTGAACCCATAACCTCTGCTTACCAGGCAATGTGCTTGCCATCCAGACCCTGAGCAATTCTTCACTTCGAGGCATATTTAAAGTTAAATATAAACATTCATGGTTATGTACGACAGGACTGGAGGTGAAACCTACACCTGTAGCCTATGTACTCCTCCACTGTGGTGCTCAGCTGCCTGTGTGTAACTGTGAATGGTTATATATAAATTTAAATACATCTGGAAGCAGAGACTTGCTCAGGATTCAGATGACATAACTGGCAAGCACACTGCACAGTAAGTGGAGGTTCAGGTTCAAGTTGTGCTCCATACTAGTTATTTTCTTCCAGAATATTCTAAATTATTTATTAAATTATTATAATTATTAATTTAAATGAGAGATGATGCCTAATCCCTACCTCTAGTACCAAATTACTTAATTTCTAATTATTAATTATGACGTAATATTAGCCCGATTAATTACGGCAATTTTTTGGCTTAATTCAATACATCAGGCTTCAGGATATTGATATATGATTATAATTGTCACACTACGTACAAAAACATTCAGATTGATATCATTGAATTGTGTGTGTCCACAAATGAAATTTTCTGATAAATATAGTAACTATTTATATATTAAATTATTTTGATTTAATATGATACTAGTGAAACTTGGAAATGATGTAATTTCACATTTTACTATTGGCCTATTCAGAAATGTTTGATAACTTCTATTACTATGCAGAAATTTAAAATTTTGTATTTTGTACAGGACAAGAAATGAGAATGTTCATTTTGATTTGTAATAAAAGCATATTAACAATAGAGCATACTCACTTCTAATATTTCAAATATACTTAATAATATATACTAAATTATATAGTTACAATCAATTAAATTTAATTGTAACCACATAATCTTGTAAAATGATTAATAATTAGAAGAATATGTTGCTATGATGAGTCTATCAAATTAAACTTCTGTTTCTGTAGCTAAGTTATATGTAATAAATTTAGATATATGCTTATGTTTTATTTTTATTTTCAGAATGCGATGTCTTGTCACATCAGTCAGTTATTGTGGTTCCGTAAGCTGTATATGATATTTTCACGTTACATATTTATAAATACTTACAAAAAGTTAACTGAATCTCATTATAGTTTTCACAAAGACAAATAAGAACAATCAATGATATGTTTATGCAATAATAATAATTAAAATAATTGTATCATATTTCTATGATATAGATATTTCAACAAAATTAATTAAAACATTTCAAATGTGATATGATAATTAATAAAACAAAATATTTTGGTGGAAAAATTTTTATATGTAATTTGTTACATGGCAATTTATTTTTTATGAATAATATAACTGAAATGCATACAATTGCTAAGGAAAAAATCAAAACTAATAATTAAATATTTCAGAAATATTTATTTGTATATAAGCCAGCTACATATTTTAAACAAGTCTTTAATCATATATATGTCATATGCCTTTTGTTTTATTTATATAAAAATTTTACCTATAATTGTGTTGAATATTATGTCAAAATTCTTTCTGAAAGTACAATTTTTTTCAAACACATATTAACAATTATATTAACATATAATGTACAAAAATGTTTGTACAATTAGATAAAATGTTAGCCATAACCTACAAAACAAAAATAATTCATTCATATATACTGTATATATATATGAAGTTAGTTACTCTAGAAAATAATTTTATTTATAATACTAATATTTATTTTAAAATATTTAATCATTATAATAGTTAATTATAGTATATATCAAATATACATTTTATCTTCACATGCTCCATTAGAAACTCTGATTTTAATTCCATCAGGATCCTCTATTTCTTATTTATAGTTTAGGTAGATCTTCATTTGGTTAGTTTCATTGTTTGCTGGGCATATTTATAATGGGTGAAATTATTGTTGATATATTCACATTGAACTAAAAGCCTTTCAAATAAATCTAATCCAACTCATTATACCCTCCATATTAAATTATATAACAAAAGAAAGCTCAAATTATTCTGAATATTGTTATCACTTTATGTAGAAATTATTATATAATATAAAATGTTACTGTTATCTTCAAACTGTATGAATATGAATTTACATATAACAAACAAAAAATTCTTTTAGTTAAGTAATATTTCAGATTAAGATGAAAAATTAATTTTCTTATATGGAAAATAAGATATATGTATACAAAATAAATGTGTTCATTTTATTTTCATACTGCTGTATATATATTGTACATACATTCACTTTCTATAAATTAAAAATTTGTTAAGTATGAAGTAACAGAATTTTTGTTGTTGTTGTTGTTTGTTGTTATAAGCAAATTTTATATAAATAAAAAAAACTTTGAAAATAATGTTAAGCCAAGAAATTTATTCAACTAAAAGGTAAATTGTTTGGCAAAATTGAATATGCTCTTCTCAAAAATTTTCTCTCTAAAAGATGGTTAAAATGTTTTTGTTTTTATGATTTCAAATATGATTTTAATATCTTAATATAGTCAAACTTCTTCTAAACCTCTAAACAGCAGCCATTTTTCAGAAACTTTTTTAAACAAAAATGCATACAAACTAACCTCCAAACAACAACTATTCTAAACTGCAGCCATTTTTTATGTTCCTGTCAGTGGTCATTTTCAGAGATTCGACTATATTTACAATAAATTATAATTGAAACAATCTGTATATATATGTATTTATTTTTAACTATAAAATTTAAATTTTTACTGAATATAAAAACATTTTTGGAAAATATAAATTTTTATTTTATTATAAAATAAAAATTTTGCATTCCAACATAAATAAAATAAAATTTTAGTCGTACAATATTTATTTATTTTTTCTAGATTTTTTTTTATATAATAAGAGAGTTGAATAATTTTAAATTTAACTGCATTTTTAATTTCTTTTATAGTTTTGATAAATTTTTACCTCCTTTGTTTTTCTGTAACTTTGATTTCAGTTAGTTAATTAATACATTTTTCTCTTACTCATAGTGTACTTGTATACTATAAATTAATCAAAATTCTGTTCCATATTTTCACTCATAATTCATTAAAAACAATCAGTTTTTTCCATCTTCATTTAAGAATATTCTTCAACTCATTTGTTTTTTATCAAGCCTAGTTAAAACCTATTAAATTAAAACTATGAGAATTATTCTTATTAAACAGATTAGCTTTCAAATTAATGTTGTATTTTTAGTTTTCAAATTAAAGTTTATATAGAGTCTAAAAAATTAAGATTGCAAGAATTTATTTTTGATGTTTATTAAAAGTTAAAAGATGTTAAAAAAGAAATCTTATCCATTTACTAATGACCCTTGATGTAACTGACTAATGAGGGTCAAGGGATGATTTGATTTGTCATTCTATCCAGAGATATTGCAATCAACTAAAAAATGAACTTTACATAAAATATGATAAAATACAATATTAATCCCCTTTTGTTGGTATATTATTAGCACATCAGCAACTGCTATATTATAACAAGTAGCTTTTAATATTATCTTACTATTTCAGACTTATTTAGCCCAAAGGGAAGATGCAAATTCATTTCTTTTTTAAGGATGAGCCAAAAAGCTTGAAAATAATATTAATAACTATTTCTTAGTAAAATTAAGCAGGAATCAACATGATGATAACAGGTCTAAATAATTTATACAGTGGTAAATACATGAGAAACAAAAGTCATATTTTCAAGAAAAGATGTATCCATAGTTACTGATGCACTCTGTAGTGAACATTCCATGCACTAACAGTCAGTTTGATATTTTCAGATACTGTATTTCTATTCTGATAGATGCACTGGAACGAGCAGATTTGGTCCATTTCTGAAATCTGTTATATCAGGGTCAACAGTAGTATTTATAATAGAATTTGATTTATATAAGTATTCACCATTTAACAATATTCTGTTTAATGACAGACCATGTATACAACAAAGGTCCCATAAGATTATAATGGAGCTGAAAATTTTATATTCACTTGTATGTTTTCTATGTTTAGATACAGGTACTTATAATTGTGTTTCATATAGCCTATATGAGAAGTAGACTATACCATACAGGTTTGTCTAAGTACACTCTATCTATGATGTGTGCTTAATAATGTATTTCTTGGAATGTATCCCTGCCATTAAGTGGTGCATATATCTATATTTGTGTTCAAAATTCTAAACAATACAACTTTTAGATATTCTGAATCTATACCAATTATTTGAAATATTACTTTGATAAAACATTTAGAATCATCTGATTGTTTATATTGCTTATAATGATTAATAAAGCAATTACTAAAAAAGACAATTGTTTGTATTTTAATAAATTTCTTGGCTTGGATATAAAATATTTAAAGTTTTTGGAATATTTATTTATTTACTTGATACTAATGAAAATGGTTTGTTGAGATTAATGTTTGCACAATAAATGTTACAATGATTATTTACTCCATAAATAATAATTTCTGAAACAAGCCTATACAATATCATTTTATTGTGAATATTTGTTTGATATACTGAATAGAGGAGTCTTTCAGAAATATGTATATAATAATCCTGTTTTCCTTTATTTCATGTATATAAATATATTATTTGTATTGTTTATGAAATAAATATATTGTTAAAATGGATTCATGTATTTATGTATAGGCAAACATTTTAAAATTATAATAAATTTTAAAATTCATAATAAAATGTGTTATTTAGTTTGTATTTTTCTACTAATATTTTATGTTTCAAATTGACAAAAATATATGATTTTTCTTTGAAATGAATTTCATGTTTAATGAATATTATTACACAGTAAACTAAAGCTAAAATTTTAAATGAATTAAATGATAAAACCAATTTCATTGAGACATTTGAAGAATCTGGTGTTACCAACCATTATTTGATTAATGAATATTATGTTTTCTGGGATTAAATATCATAGAAAAAATAAAGAAAAAAGAACAAATTAAGTACCATAAATGTTTTACTTTTTTAAAACTTGTTGCTGTGATATTGCAGATAATATTAATAAAAATAGTTTCTTTACTTTAGATCAGCAGATCAAACTGCACATAAGTCAAATTAACAAACAATGAACATTTGTACACAAATTTTTTTGTACATTTTTTTTTCTATTACTTTCCATCTTGTGGGCACTGAGAGAGCTTTTTTCCAGGCCTGTCCTTGTAATGGGCATGGCCAGATGGTGAAGGATGAAGCTCAACAAAGAGTTTAACAGGTTGTATTCAGCCTTCTCACCAATCACACTCAATAGTTTGTATGATGCCTGTTAAACTAACATAAAAATGACTTGAATTGGTTCCTTTTTACTCAATACCATGTTTCATCTGTAAAAGAATAAGCAAAGAATCAACATAAATCATATAGTCAGACTTATGGGACACCTTGTATAATATATGGTAAATTTATTTCCAGTTAAATTCTAAAGTTTTGGAAATAAACGATTGCTTCCTATCCATTGTTTATGACTATTTTATCTTTTTTTTTTTTTTTTTTAAATTCCTGGTAAGTTTTCATCCTTAAATATCTAAACCACGAAACATTATTTAGAAACTATTACTTCTTAATATATGTTACGAGAGAAAAACTTTCAACTAAACATTTTTTCAAGATAAATTTTAAGCGTTTAACCAAGACTGAAATTATTAAATTGATCAAAATAATCTAAAAACGTTTCAGCAATTACATAAAACGCTAAATTACCATTAATGACGTCATAGAGTAACCGTCCAATCATATCTCGAGATACAGAACAATTTTTGTGAAATAAAGCCAAACAGCATGGCACTAGAAAGGAGGAGGTCACAACGGAGACAAGTACGAGAGAAACCAATTAACAAATGCAGAATATACTGTAGAAGATTAAGTGCATTTTTATTTTCTCATTTGGGATTAACTTCTCTAGTTATTTGTTATACAATTGTAGGTGCAATTGCATTTAATCGTTTGGAAATTAACAACGAAGAAGAACTAGTGCTGAAGATGAACAAAGAGAGCCAAAATGTTGTGTTACGTTTATGGGGAGTCACCGTTGCTTTTAATATCTTACACAAACAAAACTGGACCAAATCTGTCGAAGATGAAATTAGAATCTATCAGGGTAAGTTAGTAGAAGCTGTCAAAGGTGGTTACGATGCTCAAGAAAATGGAAGAAATCAGTGGTCGTTACCGGGTGCGTTTCTCTACTGTCTTACGGTCATCACTACGATAGGTAAGTAACGTGTAGAATGATTTAAATTGATTAGAAATAAAAATTTATACATTAATTTCTAAGAATAAACATTGTGTGAAACTCTTAACAAATTTTAAAATAACAGAAAAGTTATTTTTAGTCATCCCTATACGACTTCCAAGGGCGGAAACCTCCCACGCGCGCATTGTAAATAATAACTACGATGTCACTTGACTGATATTTTAAATATAAACTTTAAAACTTTTAGAACGATAAAGTATATTTTTAATTATTCTAATTAATTGCAACTGGTACTTAAAGTATAAGTGTAGTGAAGTCATTACTCGTGATGTAAAAAATGCTAGGATTTGTCCTTTGCTAACATGCTATTTCTTCTTTATTAATTTGCTAAATAATTCAAAAGTACAATTTCTATAATGGTAAGAGAGAAAATACAAGCTGCAAATTAAATAAATTTTAGTACTAATAAAAATATCAAAATTATACAGAAATTTTAAGCAATTGTGTGAATTATATAGTGTAGGGATCGTCCATAAATTACGTAACGCTATTTTTATACTTTTCAACTATCATCCCTACTCCATAACGTCGTCACCAGTACTCACCTCCGAAATTACGTAACTCATATTTTCGATCGACCCCCCTTAATTGTAGTATGGAGTAATACACGGCAAGGGGTACTGAACGTTACATTATTTTATTAATTACACGTATAACGTACGAAGCTGTGACGTAAACAGTACGGTTTGCTATGCAATACTTAAAAACGAATCGTTCTATTACCTGAGATGAAAAGACCCTAGCTTTACGTAACGTTTTAAACAATTCCACTTTTTGTAACGCATCATAACCTACATATTCAAACGCTCATATCTGCTTACGTAATTTATGGACAGCCACTTATGCGGAAAATAATCTAGCAATAAATATGCTTACACTATAAAAATGCACTTCAGACAATTATTTTGTTTTTCTATAAAACCTAATTGTAAAATAGGTTTAATTTTGTCTTACGAGCTCTGTTGTTATAACGGAAAGTATGGCGATCGGTCAAAAAATGTCCCTTCAAGATTTTTACATTCTTGGACTTTGGGCACCTTCAAACTTCGAGAAAAGCAAAAAAAAAAAAAAAATTGGGGTAATTTCTGTATGTATGAATGTGTGGGGGCACGATTTTGTCCACCTTGTTTGAAGCTTAATAACTTATGTGCTTTTTGTCGAAATTTTCTGAAATTTTGCAGGGAGGTTTGTGTATTAGAGAGATGGAGACTATTAAATTTTGGTGGTTAAAGGTTGATGGAGTCGGGAGATAAAGCGGGTCGAGTGTCATATCTCGAGTTGGGTCAGACCTAATAACGATTTTACTCGTCATTCGATTTTACAATTTTTTTATAAAACCCATCCATATCCTTAAAATTAAGTTTTTTGCCATTTTATAATAATTAAAAATATAATAAGTTTTTAAATAAGATATAATAACAGATGGCGCCACAAAATGTTGCCAGGAAAGTTAAGAACTCGTTGATGGATTTTTTTTTTATATTTTGATTGTTTCATTAATTAATTAACTGTAATATTTCGAGGTGATTCAATTTTCTTCCTTCAGAAATCAGAAATAACATTCTTCCCTGAATTGCCTCCATAGATCCAGTGGCGTACCGTAGTAGGGGAGGCAGGGGCGGCCTACTCCGGGCGGCACTTTTTAGGGTGTGGCAAAATTTCACAATAAATAATAAAAATATCTTGTAAAAATTTGAATCATTTCATCACATACTTTCGTTCGTCGCACCTTCGATTCGGACCGATTGAAATGTGCACGGAATATCGTGTTCATTTACACAGTCCGGAATATCGTGCACAACCTATCGACCTTTTTTTTTTGCTTGTACGATCGTATTCATACACGTCTCCAATATCCAATAGAGCTAAGTCTCCAATATCCAATAGATCTAAGTCATAGAGCTAAGTCATCTAGGTTACTTACGTTACTGCTACCTAAGTCTCCCTAGTCGCTAACTGTAACTGATTTACAACCGGCATGCACTGCACATTATTCTTCGCATTGCAAAATGACATTGTGCATGCGTCAGGAACTTCTGTTCTAACAAACCTCACCTGCCGTCCGGGTCAGCGATTTTAAAAAGGTGGCAACACTAGCACGGAATTTTTCATTACTTATTCTGTGACGAAACTGAATTTTAGTCTTTTAAATTAAGATACCTAAATAAGGGGACGGCGGAATTTTTCTTTGCCCAGGGCGGCTGCACCCACGCTACGCTACTGCATAGATCTGTCTTTGTCTTTTATTTGTCTCTTGTCACATTTAACCAGACGCGGAAGTCACCACGTACAGTACTTTTTTTTAACTCTCCGCCCTGTGGGCACTAAGAGGGCCTCTTTGTTGCAAGCCCATTATGGGTACGGCTAGGCCCACAATGGGGCGGCCGGGTGGTGAGGGACGGGGCCCGACATATCCGGACGAACCACTCCCCCCGAAAGATTCCTGAGGATTATTCGACCCGTCTGAATTCGATCCCTGGTCCCCCAGAGCAGTAGGCTGCCACCTTGACCGCTCGGCCATTCGGCCCGTATAGTACTATTGAGACAGGTTCAAACTCACAGAAACGTGAAATTTATCACTATAACCAGATAATGCTGATTATTGTTCATAATAACAGGTTAATGTAATTAATTTTACAAACATAAATAATTTATCACATTCATCAAAACTGTTGGTTATTATGCAAATACCCTGTGATTAGGGGCCACGATGGCCGAGCGGTCAAGCTGGCAACATGCCGCTCCAGACGGGTCGAAAAATCCCCAGGAATTTTTCAACGTACGACTAAATATCCAGATGGCACAACGCGCTGATTGGTCAGCTGAATGACGTCAACCTACGAAAATTGTTAATGTTGATCGATTAGCCTAAACTTCGTATTGTTATTGTTGTTGTGAGAGTGGACAGACATTATATCATAGTTATAGGCATTTCATCTAAAACTTAATAAAAAGCACTTATTTATAATTTCACTAGCTCTTGTGTGTATTGACATTAATTGAAAATTTTGTAATAATTTTAACATTAAATTACGTGATATCAAAGATTTTAATGCTGAGACATTTTTAAACATCAAGAAGTAACTTTTATCTGTTTTGTATTTTTGTAAGTTTTTTGTACATTTACTATAATAATAAAATAGTCAAAAACAACAAATGTAAATTGCAAATTAAGTTTTTTTTTTAACTTTCTTTATTAGACAATACAGTATTTTTAACCTTACAGAAACTTGTATTTAATGTTTTATATATATATTTAGCATATTACAACAGAATATGCTAAGTAAAAATGCAGATTAGTTAACAATTTAATATATATTTTCACCTAAACATAATTCATACTTTTTAATGCATAATTGTTAAAACATTTTAAATAATAAGTTATTTTTTTTTACAAATCCATTGGTTTGTTTTTCAAATCAAATCCTGTGGAAACTTAAATATAGACACTGGATATATATTTTCCTATGCAACCAGGTACACAGCACATACAAGGCATCTAGAAATAGGTATTCAATCCTATGATCATATTATTTTAACAAGATATAAAAAAAGGACTAAAAAAATAGCTTACTATGATAACATTACTTTTTCCTGACACTTATATTGATAAAGAATTTCCATGATGAAATGTATGGAAATTCTTATTTAAAACATATATAACTATTATATTCAAAGGAATTTAAATACTTACAGTATAATTGATTGTTAAATAATTTATACAAGAATTCTATACTTTTAATTTGAAAAATGGCCGTACAAATTTGATTAAACATATTTACAGATATATCTATGATGGAACTGGATATATGAAATTTCTGTAAATTTGAAAAGTATTGTTTCTTAACACTACTTAACATTTGTAAGTATTGTTTCTTAACATTTTGAACTGACATTCAAAAGCACAAAAGGTCTATTGACAGAAAGAACTGTCAATTCTAACTAAAGCATTAAAACAAAAATTCTGATAAGAATAATCTATAGAGAATATTCATTATTCAAAATTGTTCAGTAACTTTTACATTTAAACTTTATAATATGTTAAGCAAGATTTGTGAAAATTTCTCTTTTAGAGGTATACAAAACTTCGTTAATTTTATTGTTTCATCTAACTATATTAAATGCATATGACAAATTCAAAAAATATTCTGACTTGTCTTAATTATAAATTTCATCCTTTCTCGAACTTTTTATGAATAATATCTGTAACAAAGTATAAATTTTCTGTTATTTACTATATGTGCACGTGAATTTAAAACACTAATCGCACTATTAAAATGATCTATTGTGTATGATTTGGTTCAGAGGTGCATAAAGATCAAGTATGAAGTTAAATGTTCAAAAAAAAAATAAATAAATAATCAGCTGTATTTTCACTTTATACTCATTCCATATTAAGATAACTAAAAAAAATAATCTACAGTATTTCGTCATGATATATTCTGACGATCACAAAATATAATCTATACTTCGCTGGGTTGACGTCATTTAGCTGACCAATCAGCGGGTTGTGCCATCTGGATATTTAGTCGCACGTATTTTTCAGGGGTGGTCCGTCCGGATCTGTCGTGTTCCGTCCCTCACCACCCGGCCGGCCCATTGTGAACCTGCCAAATCCGTAATGGGCTTGCTAAAAAGAAGCCCTCTTAGTGCCCACAAGGCGGAAAGAGTTTTAAAAAACGATGATTTATACATATTCACCGGATTTATCGATTTAACGGTAACATATGTATCAGTAAAATTATTTTATATATCTCTTACTAATTAATTCATAAACAATAAAAAATACACGAGAAATTGTAGCACGAAGCTTATAAGCAGCGCAATCGTAATCTCTGATTATCGTCATTTTGTAAACAAACTTCCAAGCAATAGTTTGTAAAGGGATGGAGAAAATATTCATTGGTTCTATAGCTCTACATTACGAGTGACATCGCGAGATCGTCTAAGGCAGCGAT